CCTAGGAGAATCTGGATGCCAACTTTGGTTATTCTAGCTTTTATAGTTTCTGAGATCCTTGCGTTCATCCAGACGAACAGACGGACAGACGGACGGACATGTCTAGATCGATTTCTCTCGTCATGCTGACCAAGAATATATATACTTTATGGGGACGGAGATGCTTCCTTCTGACTGTTACATACTTTGCACAAACCTAATATACCCTTTTTACCCTACGGGTACAGGGTATAAAAAACTCTTAAGATGGGGGAGTTGGGCGTTAGGAGGTGCATTTTATGCATCGCTGCTCTTTCTGTTTTCTCCCAAGATGCATTGGCCCGACTGATATCAGAATGGCAACTACTTGCGAGTACTGTCATTGCACCTCGACGAATGACAGATCGCTGGGGTCACAACAGACTTCATTGTTGTGATTGTTTATGATTATTATCTACACTTTCTTTTTCGACTGTGCGGCGCTTGGGTCCCAAACACACATGCATATGTGTGCATGCACACACACATACATACATATGTGGTAACTCTTTCTTTCTTCGTCACCCAACCATCCATCCATCCATCCATCCATCCATCTTTCGTTCGCTTTGTTGTGCTCGCTTGTTTAGGGCCATCTGAGACAATTGTTGGCAAAACAAAATCACATATACGAGCCCATATATATAGTACACTCACACATCTCGCTGCGCATCTAATGAGCTTTGACAACAAATGTTGTCGCTAAGTTGCTTTTGTTGCTCTCGTTGTTGTTGTCATTGTTGTTGCTGCTGCTGTGCGCGTAATTAGCCGCCATCGAAATGCGGCAACAGTTTCACTTGCACTCTTGACACAGCCGTTGCACAAAATTATGAAACGTGTGTGCTTTAAAAGCGGCTTTCCGAGCAGCACCTGCCACTTGAAACTAATTTGGTTTTAAGTGCTACTCATTACAATTTGCTAAATGCATTGTAATGCAAAATTAATTATAAACATAAGTACATACATATGTGTGGAAACTTTTTATTGGCAGCGGTTGGCTTCAGACCACAAGACTTCTGAGTTCGCTTCTGCATTATGTGGGCGTGGATTGCCAAAAAAACAGATCAAAACTTGAAACGCTTTAGATTGTTTCCTCGTTATTTAGTGCGTTACTAATAGACAACTATATCAATACCTCTGCTTCCTGTTTGGCTGCCGTTAAATGTGATTATTTGCCACAATAGCTTCCAAAAGTGTGCTGAATTGCCGCTTATTACACCAAGCAACAAAAGCTATGTATATGATATAATTGTATGATTGTGTAAGAAGAACAAGTTTTGCCTTCAAATTGCAAATAAATTCTATGAAATAAGAATTTTTGAAATTTCAAGCAAAAACTATAATTAAGAGAGTTAACTGAAGACCCAATGAGACCTTAATTCTGTTAGTTTATATTTTTAAAATAAATATAAACAAATAATCAATCAACCATTTTCATTTGTTCGTATTTAATTTTCATGAATACTTCAATCAATTGAATATAGTACATTAAAAATGATTGAAAAGAACTTTTCGAACTAAAATTCGTGAATATTTACACTTTTCCAGGGGACCATATCGAATCGGGAAATGCGGGCACATAATTTGTAAAAGGAAAATAAATCGAAAGCTGATTCAAAATTAGCACTCTTAAATGAATTAATTTTAATTAACAATTTCATTACATTCATTTAGAGGATAATTCATGTTTGTACAATTGCAATGCAACATTATTTTATTATTATTATTTTTTATTTAATTACAAATTAATAATTAATTAATTCTTGGTAGATTCACAAGTACATCGTTGTAGAGATATATTAGTTAAAACAAAGATAGTTTCATTTAAGTAGAATCAATTTTTGTAACCATAAACTAACTCTTAACCAATCAACCTTAGTAGAGTAGATACTTGTAGATGTTAAAAAATTGACTAGTACCTTCTTTTTTTTGCCACAAAACGTAGAAAGTTAAAAATAAAAACAAATTAAAAATTTATCCAAAATAACTCTTTCTTTACATGTTCTCTGAGCTGATTTTGAACATGAGAGTCTTTAGTAATAACTAGAGCTGTGGCCTTTTCAATCGTTAATTTGTGGTGTTGTTTATAGGACAAAGCATTGGCAATAGCAACGGTTGAGCTCATTAATAGTTCAGTGGCATTCGAATAGTGCGAGTATGTGTAGTCAGCCAGCGGCTTCTTCACTGTCTGTCAAACAAACTACCTAACTAGCCGTCTCGCGAACTATTGGCTGTTGGCAGTTGTTGGCTTTCACTTTCAGAGCCGCATGCGCACAAACAGTGAAATGAGTGACGAAGAGTGCGCTGGAGCATTATAAAATGTCACATATGACAGCAGCAACATCAGCAGCAGCAACTGCAGCAATAGTGGCAGCAGAAGCAGCTCGCATAATGGCCAAATTGCAGAGGCTAATAGACACGCAACAAGCTGGCTGCCTGCCTGGTTGGCTGGCTGGCTGGCTGGCTAGCAAGTCAGATGGTTTGAGCGGCATAAGCTGCAATTGACAGCCATGTTTATTATTTTTCCTTCTGTTTTTTGTCAGTTAACGAATAAAATGCTATTTAAATGACAAAACGCACATGTGTGAGTGCACACGCACACACGCACACACCATATTATTGGGTAATCGCATCAAGAGCGATCGCTGGAGCTTTGCTGGCTGGCTGGCAGCTTGTTGCTGATGTTGTTGGTGTTGCTTTAATTGTTGCGCCTGTGTGTATCGAGCAATAGCAACATGTGTCGCCATCGCCGTCGTCAACATCTGTGTTGGTGAGTGCGTCGCGTGTTGCCAGTGCTTAACAATTTTCAATTGGATTTGTTCAATTAATTTTGTTTGGTTTCATTTTGGACTGTTCGCTTGCTGTTGTTGTTGTTGCTGCTGCTTCTGGCAATAATTAGCAGCGGTTAGACTTGAAATGCAGCAATTAAGTTTCATTATTATTGCTTTTGGTTTATTTAATTGCATTCAACTGTTTCAAATTTATGCTGAACGATTTGCTAGCACTCTGCGTTTATATATATGTACAAATGTACATATGTATGAGTATGTTTGTATGTGCCAGCAAAAGAAAAGCCCGGTAAGCCTATCGATTGGATCTGCTACCAAATTTTTTTTTCGATTAGAAATTCAATTAATGAATTAAGCCGTAGAAAACATTATAAAACTCTTTGTTTATGCGCCAATACAAAAACACAATAATGACCGAAAAGTAAACAAATTACGTTTTTTTTTTGTTGTATTTTTGATTGAATGGCAAAATCAATTAACAATTTGTCGTTGCTATCGAAACGAAAGGTGTATTGACCGTACTCGTACATACACATACATACATACAAGTACGTACATACTCGAATCGAGGCTGACCACAAAGCAAGACAATTAGACATAATGGCAGCAGCAACAACAACAATAACAAAAGTAAGCCGAAATCAAGCAATCTCGCTGCAATTGGTTGCAATTGCATTGCATTAGCTTGTTACTTAATTTCATATTATTGGAAGAAGAAAAACTGGCAAATGAAAAAGACTAATTGCAATCATTGCGTGTCTCTCTCTCTTTCTCTAAGTGTACACATATGTACATACTATACATGCAGTATATATGTAAGTAGTATATAGATATGTATCTTAAAGTGAATGATTGAGCGAGAGTGAATCAGAAAGCCAAGCACAATCAAAAACCGGGATGCAGCGCTACAAGCCACAGCTGTGCGTGATTGCGTGCGTGTTCGTGAAAAAAGACAAAATGCCGCGAATTTCGTGACGTTTGGCGGAATCACATGAAATTCTTTAAGACATCTTTAGTATAATTCACGAAAACACAAAAATTTACAAACAAATAGCGAACAAAGAGCTTTCTTATATCCATTAATTAGACCAATGAATAAATATAAAGAATTACAAGAAATTATTGGACATAAAATGCAAAACACTGGATCGACTATATTTAAAAAAATACAATTTTGAGTTATTTTAAGAATCAGCTAACTATTTATATAAATAAAGAAAAGGTTTCTGTTTATATTCTAAACCTATAAGAACTAAAAAGCTTTCTACAATATATATTTTAAAATAAATACATTTTTAAAACAAAAAGCTAGCAAAGAACTTTCTTATATCAATTGACTAGACCAATAAATAAATATAAATAATTAAAAAGGATTGCAAGAAATTAATGAAAAAAAAAAATAGATCAAAAATGTTTAAAGAAATACAAAATTTAGTTAACTGCTACATCAAAAATAGTTAAAAATTACATAATTTAGTTAATTTGCGAATCAAAAGTTTCTGTTTATATTCGAAACCTATAATAACTATGGAGCTTTCTATAATATATATTTTAAAATAAATACATTTTTAAAACAAAAAGCTAGTAATTGATTAGACCAATAAATAAATATAAAGAATTAAAAAATATTACAAAAAATTATTCAACAAAAAATACAAAACACTGGATCGACTATGTTTGAAGAAATACATTTTTTGGTTAATTTGAGATAACTATTTATATAAAGAGGTTTCTGTTTATATTCGAAACTTATAATAACTAAAGAGCTCTCTACAATATATTTTAAAATAAATACATGTTTAAAAAAGGCCAGAAAATATACTGAAATTCTGATTCTTTAACGGTTTTTATTAAGTTTTTCAAATTCAAGCTAGAAAAAAATTCGTGAGCTTAAAAAAGCACGCATTCGTGACGGCAATTTGTGTCACGCACCCAGCTCTACAGCCGACCCAACAGTAGCAAGTCAATTTTTTGACAAAACTCCTGCTTTAGTGTTTTCCGCCCTCCCCTTCCAACCAGTCAAGGCGACATCTGCATTGCATAACGACGAAAGGCAGGCATTAGGTATTAAGTTACAAAAGAGCCCAATATGTACATATGTATGTATGTATGTACATAAAGCCATCATAAATACTCGTTGTTAATTTTTGTTTTCTACAATTTCTCAATGCATTTCTCTGCCTCTTCTTGCAGCCATGCCGCACAGTGTTGCGCAGTCAGGAAACGCAACAGCAACGCGACACACGCAATTGCGGGCGAGGTAACATCACCGAGCGGCCAAGCAGCCAACATGTTAGTGCTGTCAACGTAACGTGTCACAAACAGATCACAATTACACAGATCACTGCGAAAGAGCTCAGAATATTGCTCCAAACTTAAACGTAAAACCCCTCAGTCCCTACTGTGCCCAACTGGACAACAACTCGTGATCAAGCAACAAATTGCCATATTCTTTATTTCCAAAAACATACACACACACACATACACACACACAAACATAACAGCAACATGAACAGCAAGAACAGCAACAAGATGAGCAGTAATACCTCCCTGGATAACTCCTCGGATCAGGACTACACGGAATTCCTCAATGAGTATTTGCTGCAAACTAATTCGCCCAGCAACGAGCCAGAAACCCATTACGAAGGTGAGTCGCCGTCACTGGACGAGAATTAAATTAGTGATGTGACTCAAACCACCAATTGTTTTTATTACCATTTATGTTTATATATAGATGGTGAGATGGAGGCGGAATGGCTCATTGCCGCTGGATTTCCACAATTGACGAAGCCATTCGAGCAGGTTTGTTTCTTTAAATAAATAAGCAATTCAAAGTGTACATCACGAAAGAAGCCTAGAATTTGAAAAGGGTTACATGTTTTCATGTTTTAAAAAAAAACTAGTTCCGATAAAATGTATAGAACTTAACTAACTTGTTAACTTTCATGAGATTGATTAATATTTAAAATTCAGCTTAGTAGCTTAAAATATTGACAACTGCTGATCTTTTTGGAAAATCGAGAAATCGGCCCAAACATATGTAACTCGAGAAAAAAACTTCAGCCGCAACGGGATCGTTTCAAAAATGCTTATAGGCGTTTTTCAAGAGCTGTAATAAGAAAGACGATATGGATGAAATAAACTGAAAGTATCATATGAAGATCTTTTTACGGGTAGATCTATATAAATATATTTCTTTAGATAAAAACAAAATCAATCAATATTATTTTTTACGGCTGATGCTCTTTGATTTTGTTTAAAAAATGTTAATTCTACAACACACATTTTGAAAAGCTCGCATCTGCTGGTGTTGATGTAACAAACAAATCAAATACATATAAATACAAAGATTTGTAAGCATTTGTGAATTTTGAAATAATTAATCCATGACTTGGAATACAAGTATATTTACGTATTTGTGATTTTTGAAATATGTAATTAATATTTTCATAATCCACGATTTAGAATGCAAAAATATTTACGTATTTGTGATTTTTGAAACAATTAATATTTTCATAATCGATGGCTTAGAATACAAATATATTTATGTACTTGTATTTGTGACTTTTAAAATAATTAATATTTTCATAATCCATGGCTTAGAATACCAAAGCCGAAGTTAGTTTTGAACAATTTTCAATTTCCATTCCATTTGAAGAAAATGTTAGCAGTCATAAACATTTACGATTACGGCAACATATGTTTTCCATACATCTATAAATGATTCACACAAACACCCGTGGGCTAATATTTTTCGGGATTACACAGAACGTCAAGGTGTAATACCTATAATTAGGAAACTTAGAAGAGTAAGCCGTTTAATGCAAATTCCACTTACTGACTCGCTTATCTGGCCTGATAGCTGAGGACTCCTTGTACCTAGAAATGCCCTTCCCGGCACTTCAACACGTGTGTTGGCGTGTGTGGAAATTCCCGGGTGTTGTGGGCAAAACCGTTTACAGCACAGTATCTAAAAATAAACAAAGTCTGTTGCCGGGTAAGCGAAAAACCTCCTCGTACGGGCATGCGATATGGCGTTTATTCGAATCCGACACCCCAGAATGCAGCCTTGTTTATGCCAGGCATGCCTACAAACAAACAAACTCGCATAGCACATACTGTACCCGTACATACATACATATGTATATGCAAGTATATGTATGTAGGTATGCATGTACATAGTACATGTGCATTTTAAAGTGCCTATACTTATGTACTGGGATTGTAGAAACATATTTACGTACTCGCCATTATATAGGCGAAGCTTTGTCGCATTAGCCATTCCATTCCGGCAGTTGGTAGCGAGAAGTCAGTCAGCGTTTTTGCATTCCGGAAGAAACGGATTAGGACTCTATCTAGTATATATTATGCTTCCACCAGTACCATGAGTGCGACGAGCATTTACCTAACCATAGACAGTATTTTGAGGCTCGCGTCAATAGCTCCCATGGATGAGGAAGTGAGGCTACTCCATCTTTTATATTACTTGCAATTAATCGAATCTTATCTAATCGAAATGATCTTATTCCTTTTAGGGTTTTGAATTAAGGACCACAGAGCTCGAACCCATACTGGCTACACTATCGAAGCCACACGCGGAGGCGATTAAGCAGCGTGTTCGGGCACTTAATCAAACGGTACGTGGACGCACAAAGAACCGTTCCAAGCGTAAGCCGGACATTCGCGATGTCTTCCGGGATTTCGATGTGAGTATGAAGCTTTGCTGGCTGCGTAGCTCAGTACAAGTATTATTGTGATATTCAAACATTTGTGTTGTTGTTGCAGGAATCGAGCACGGGCACAAGGTCGCGAAGCGCCACACCCGACTCTTTGGACTCTATACATGGCGATGAGGTCTGGGGGAATCCCTCCATGTAAGTCAAAGTCACCATTAGAGTTGCTTGCATTATCTAATCTATATTACTTTCTCTTTGCCAGTCCGAGCTTTGTAAGCATATTTGATCATGGTGCTGGCAATGAAAACGCCAGTGTCCATCCTTCGCTGGGAAAGCATCTCAAACAGAAACTGCGTCGCACACCCAGCGCCCCACAAAAGGGATCTACGGATATATTCCGCGGCTCGCACGTTCGCTGCGACATACCGCTGTACTCGGCCGAGGGAATCGAGCTGCTGGGCTTCTCGCGCATCGGAACCATACACATACCCCGAAATCGGTCGGGATCAGATCCATCTTGCTCGGTTGGGTAAGTTTTCCCATTGCTGGAGTAACTTCAAATTATAATCCAATCATTTTTATGATTTAGACGAGCACGCGGCCAACTTATGCAGGATTCACAGAGCGATAACAATACCTCGTCGGGCGATTCCAGCGACGAATGTCTGTCCAACACAGCACGCATTTCGTCGTCGTCCTCGCCGGAGAAGATTTTGAACAAAATGCAACTGGATACGCCGCCGCAAAGTGTGCAGAACTCGCCGTCGTCACGGGACGGCATCAGCTTTGAGAGCATGGTTCGGGAGACATCTAGTCAGGATGGCGTGGATACGGTGGATAGCAGTGATATGTCGTTGGAATACTGCTCCGACATCGATACGATTAACGAGATAGACTTGAAGCGGTTGCAGACCATCTTCTGGCTGGAGCTGGCCACCGTCTTTGATCGCAATCAGGTGTCCTTGGACAAGAGAAAACCATTCAAGCGACGTCGCAAGGAGGAGGGAAATCTCTTTGGGGTATCGTTGAATGCGCTCATACGTCGGGATCAGCAGCTTACCGGCAAGGACTCAACGCTAGTGCCACGTTTTCTGGAGGGTCTGCTTGACGAGTTGACGAAGCGCGGCGCCAAGGAGGAGGGCATATTACGTGTCGCTGGACACAAACAAAAGGTGTGGTTTAAAGATTCAGTCGATTCTGAGGATTGTATATAACTTCTTTGCTATTTATTTGCAGACTGAATTACTCTACAACGAATTAGAGTCGAGTTTCTATCAAAAGCCAAAAAAATTCGCACAGCTGCTGAGCAATGCGAGCGTCCATGAGCTGAGCGCGCTGCTGAAGCGCTGGCTCCGGGAACTGCCGCAACCGCTGCTCACCAACGAGCTCATCCAGCTCTTCTATCAGTGTCACACACTCCCGCCCACTGACCAAGTGCGAGCATTGGCCATTGTCTGCCAGATGCTGCCGCATGAGAACCGAAACACATTGCGATCGCTGCTGCGTTTCCTCAACCATGTGATTGATTTGAAGGACACCAACAAAATGAATCTTCACAATGTGGCCACGATTATTGCGCCCTCATTTTTCCCGCCACGCTACATACATCCCACAGATAAGAACAGTATTGAGGAGCAGGTGAAGATGGCGGCGCAATGCTGCCGTCTCACCAATGTGCTTATCACGCGCGGTGAAGGACTCTTCCAGGTGCCCAATCATTTGATCGAGGAGTCGCGCTCCAATAAAGCAAGACAGGTACGTTTTTATACTCTGCTCTGTACATGAAATGTACAAGAGTATATTAGGTTTGCGGGAGCTGAAAAATGTAACAGGCAAAAGGAAGCGTGGCAGACCCCACAATGTCGATATATGTCTGTCTGTCTGTCTGTCCGTCTGGATCTCAGAGACTATAAGAGATAGAGACACCAAATTTTGCACAAAGATGCCTTATGTGTGTACGCTATACGAGTTTGTTTTATTTTTTTGATTCTTTTGATACTTTATAACTGATTTCTGTTCTCATTTCACATTTCATGCCTGCCTAGAAAAAACACATTTCTATAACATTTTCTTTGAAATGTTATTAAAATTAAGCATTTGAAATTGTTATCTTAATCAAATAATATAAAATCGCTATTAATATTTATTTTTTTCTCCTAAAATTGTTTCCATTGCAGGGCAAACGGGGGCAACATAGGCGTGTCAAGGCCACCACATCGCTGCTGCATGCGGTCGCTCCCAGCATTATTGTCATCGAGAGTCCCAGCCATAGCAGTGCCGCCCGCAACACAAGCGGGAGCGGCAACGGCGGCAATGGCGGAATCGTTTCTCGCCAACAGTCCATCAATCCAAGTCATGTGCATCGTCTCGTCGTCTGAGGCAGTACGGCTCTAGAGTCGTGGCTTCGGCTTCTATTTCTTCTTGGTGTCTTTAACAATTTATAGAATTTATACTTTTAAGTTTGTATCGTCGTCTATTTACCGAAAATAATTAGCCTGTAGTCGAGTTGGAACAAAATACAAAATTTCGAAGAGCTTTAGTTGAAATCTAATGAGAAATGAGAAAAAATTTCATTGTAGAAGTAAACTTAGGTTGGTAGCTTTTAAAAAATCATTCAATGTTATATACTTATATTATGTTTATGCCCGTTTGCAATATTTTTGAAACAAAACGAATAACGAAGAGCAATATTCATTTGTAATGTTGAAGCAACCAAGATCAGTTGGTCACAATTTAGTCTCTAGTTTGATTTTAAATGTCATATCACATGAAACGTATTAAAACATGCACAAAAAAAACACACACACACATGTGTACGTAGGCACAAGGAAGCAACAACAACAAAATTGACTTAATTATGGTTAATTTAAAATAATTATATACACATTACTTCTAAGATGCATGCAAAAAGTTATGAATTGTATTTACAAAAAAATAAAAAGCATATTCTATCCATACCCAAACTGGTTTTCAATTGTTTCCATTTTTAAAAACATTCTATTAATTGAATTGAAGAGAAAAAGGATGATTTTCTTAAATTGAAAAAGTTCTAATTATCTAATAAAATCTAGTTAAGACCTACAAAAAGCTTCTGTGTTGGATTTACTTTACAAAGCCGATTTGTTAGATAACATACTCGTAAATGCTTTCACTTTAATGATAAATTGCAAGCACACATTTGAAAAAAGCGCTCACGACCAAACCTGAACGTGTCATCGATAAGTTTTCTCTGCACTGGTCAGTGTGTACACAAGTTCGTTAGCATGCTGACAAAAGCTGGCAGCTATGCGAAAACTTTACAATTCGTTATCGATTTTTCAACGGAAAATAGTGGTTTCGAATTAAATATATAATTTATTTCATAAATAAGCAAATAATGTCGTTTCTAAAAAGGCAATGTAAAATATTAAATATTTATTGAAATTCTGACAGGTGGAGCGGCTTGATGTGAGATCAGATTTAACGTTAGGCTGCCTGCGCACTACTTGGCAACCCAGATTGCGTGTCCTAGCGCTTTGGCATTTTTCAGGACTTCGAGCTAGTTGTGAAAGCTTTGCCAGTGTTGTAGGTAAGCACTGTTTGCAAAGGACATTCGCTTGAGGCATTTCCAAAATTTAACCCAACATTCTTAAGAATTCTGCGGAAAGGTACCAAACGGCTTATTTGGGAAATGCCGATTTAATATTTTTATAATCCTTTTGTAGTGATTGCTTACGAGGAGTGCTAAGACAGCCCCGATTTCGTTTCTTGAGCATTTGCAACTTCAACCTTGAACCCCGAAGTGCAGCAACAGTGCAGCCCACTTGTTGTTGCTAGCTGCAGGGCAGAGTTTTTGTGCGAAGGGGGGTGGAGCAAGTGAGAATTTGCAGTTTCCGTATACAGAGAAGAAGAAGAGTGCTGAACATGGAGCCACCACCGTCGAAGCGCGCCCGTTGCGACACCAGCGATGAGAGTGACGAAGAGGCGAAAATAACCACCTCGGGCGTCGATCATGAGAAGCACCTGGCATTGGTCAAAGTGTATGCCTCCAGGTTGGCAGACAATATATGCAAGAATGCAGGAATTCCGGGTGCTGCCATCGCAATTGAATCGCCGGAGGCACAGCAGGTCTGCTCGAAGAGTGTGGCCTCCACTTCGGGCATCTACAATGCCAGCTGCGCCTGTACGCTTTGCTGATGTAGTGACAACGAGGGCCCCAACGGCTCCAGGAGTGAAGGCAACCGTGAGGACTGCTACAAGTGTCAGGGCTTCTACGACTAGCATTGGTTGTGGCAGTGGCGGATGAGGGCCGCCGCCGAGGATGCAGCTAACGCTAAGCCGCCAAAGGTGACGCGGGTCTGGCAGCGCTACGACTGGTACGACGACAGTGGTTTGGGTGACGATGCGGCAGAGAAATCGGATAAGGCAGTGGGTGGACAATGAGCGGCAATCGCACAAAATATTCATCATGAGAAAAGTAAACATCATAATCGTACATTCTTCCAACAGTTCAATCAATATGCGTTATATCGATGTCTAAAGCTATGGTCAGATGTGCAAATAATATGCCCAGAACTCTGCAAACTACAAGTAAATCACAAAGAAGTTGTATTTTAGACTTCTTGTTGGTTTTATTTGAAGAAACATGATTATCTGTCTGTCTGACCATAGTTTCAATAACAATTTGCAGTTTAAAGTAACCCACACATACTTATGTACACACAAACTACAACAACAAACAAATAGTTATAAATATATGTATGTATGTATGTATGTATTGTAAGCCAAACCCCATCCGAATGAACTCCCCGCGCAGCCAACGTCGCAATCGGTTCCCCATTGCTGGCAAGTTAGTCGACGGGCTTTATAGCAACTACAAATTGTTTTTAATACACACGAATGCGGTAACAGTACTTAGCATAAGTATGCGCATGTACGTCTTAAATGCATACATAGTTAAAAATAAAGCTTAAAGTCCATGTATCCAAAGAATTTCAATGTGTACTGCCATCGGTCTCTTTTACAAAAGCATTAGCATCAGCATCAACATCAGCATTAGCTTTAGCTATAGTTTGTTCGTCCCACGATCACGACGCGGTCACCGTCACCGCTCATTGAAGAAATATTTCGTCAATTTTGTTTATTAGCTCTCGCTTCACTCACGACTTCCCTCTGCGGTGGCGCTGAATTGCCGCCGCCGCCCACGCAACACTTTGTGGACCCATCCGTCCATCCGTCCATCCATCCATCCATCCGCCCGCTTGTCCATTTATCCGTCTACCATATGTCTGTCTAAGTGTCCGATTGTCCGCCAGGCAGTAACTGGAGCGCAACGAGTTTCGTTGTTTATTTATTTGTTTATTTTATTTTGATTTGATTCGAGCAGCCGCAGCATTTTTCATTTTCGGCTGCAGATCGTTTTATGACGTTCGTCAACGCCATAAATCCGCGTCTTCGCCAGCCATCTGCATCAGTTTGCTTTGATCTATGTCTGTCCGGTCCGGCCTGCCAATGCATGCCTTCTCTGCCTCAAAGACTTATTGCGTATCATAATCTAAGGAGGGCGAACATTGCTCAGCGATTTCTGTAAGTGTGTATTTAGATTCTTCCTATTTCTTTGTCAACCAAACACATCGAAACGATATTTTTATGCCGTTCAATACTAAAGTACACTGTACTCGTACTCTCACAAAAAAGTTACAGGAAGTACGAAATTGTTTACCTCCAAATATCCGATGATTCCTTCAGGGGTAAAATGTAGTGCAAATTTATAAATTATATATAATTTATAAATATATGTATTTCTGACATTTTTTGTTCTTTCCTTCAAACGAACTTTTAGTTCAATTGTTTCCATTGTTTACCTTCACTTATTTGATGGTTCCTTCAGGGGTAAAATGTAGTGCAAATTTATAAATTATTAACATTTATTTTCTCCACTTACCGTAATTTTTTTATAATTCAGAAATGTATGTATTTCCTTAAACGGGTTTGAAATTGTTTCAATAGTTCAATTCCATCGTAATTTTTCCTATAATTCAGAAATGTATGCATTTCCTACAATTGAAATTCTTTCCTTCATATTCTGCTGGATTTTTAATTCAATTGCTTCCATTGTTTACCTAAAATCCTGATGATTCCTTACCAAAAAAAAAAAAAAAAAATTTAGTGCACATTTATAAATTTATTTCCTTCAATTCTCGTAATTTTTCTTAAAATGTTTCCTTAAGAGGTGTTTTAAAAAGTAAATTTTCTGCAATTTTAAAAATTTCTTTCTTTCATTTAACCTAATTTTTCTTATAATTTAGAAATGTATCTATTTCCTACACTTTATATTCTTTCCATACCCAAACGGGTTTTTAATTCAATTGTTTCCATTGTACCTCAAAATATCTGATGATTCCTTAAGAGGTGTTCTAAAAAGTAAAATTTAGTGCAATTTTAAAAATTTATTTCCTTCACTTTTTGTAATTTTTCTTATAATTCAGAAATGTATCTATTTCCTACGTTTTTGTGTTTGCTTCAAATATAAGATCATTTTTTTATTTCTTTTTTTTTAAATATTCTACATTTTGGTTTTTTTTTTTCAAAATCTAGTAAACTCTTTTCCCACAATTAACCATTTTGCTTAAACATATATTTCTATATATTTATATTTATAAATTAATGGTTTTTTAAATTATAAACTTGTTAAACAGTTTTTACAATCGAGTATAATATTTTTTTCAATATTGTTGAAATAAGTAGTAAGCTCTGTTTTTACAGTGCACTGGAGTTGGTGGCCAGGTAGTGGAGAAAAGGTAATATTATATTAGACTTGGATTAAAAGGCATTTGGTTAAAAGTCATATCTATATGATAAAACAATCAAATGTTAAGTAATAATTTAAAAAAAAAAACGTATAACTGAGAACAGCATATCAGCGGATCAATTTTATGAAGACAGTGTATTTTTTAAAGTGTGCAATGGGGGTACGCGTATATAGAAGCTTTATTTAATACAAATCCAAAATAATGTTCTCGTGTTAAAATATTTTCAGAGCCATTATAAATTATTTCTGATTTATGGAGAGGCGCCGCATTTAACAGCATTTTACATTTAACCTTGTGAGCAAAACTATCATAAAATCTGTGGCCAGAAATATAATTTTTTTTTATTGTTTGTGCTTACACTCTTCATCAAAACCTCAATCTGACTGAACTAAATGATGACCTCGGCATCACCGACGAGACATTCTTATTTTGAATAACCATTATTATTTAAACGATGATGAAATGAGTTTTTAAAGAACTCAGTTATAAAGGAGTATGTATTTTTGGTTTAGAAAATGTAATGCCCTACAAATAAATACCTACACTTAATAGCGCGCTTGTTCCTTTGACATTCGCTGATTTCTTCTCTATAGAAAACCAATTTTGCGGTTCTCTGCTGGGTGGCCAGCACACCTGTTGATTCTCTGAGCCACCTAGTCAGACGCCCATACATACATATATATATACATACATACATACATACATACCTAAATGCCTGTTTTTCCACTGAAAACTGTTCGCCACGCTCTCGCTGAAAATAAATTCATGAGCGTTGGATAATGGATCGATCACCTCGAGCGATCTTCTCGGCCGAGGCTCGTTTCGCAATTCGTTCAGCTTCCTGCCTTCCTTTCAGTACCAGCGGCTGCATAACGAATTCACTCGATGAAGAGCTCTTTTGTACGCAACATTAATCCTGTCTACTCATGAAGTGAACCCATTTGGGAACAGATAATGGGTCTGCTTTATAATTCTGACAGGGCTCGATCGATCCATCGTTGACTGTTGGAAACTAACTTTATAACATTTAATGCCTTTGAAGTAGAAAAAAGGCAATGCAAAACACATTTCTCTTCTTCCTTTGGTTAAAAAGCTCTTGGGTAGCACTATATTTAGTGCTAAGCTTGATTTCACATGTAATCCTGGTTCCAAAGTAAATAGCAAATAAATTC